CCCATCCCTCAATAATTGTGTTTTAGTGCCGTGACGCTGTGACACACGTTTCTCCCAACAAGTTTTGGAGCACTAAACATTGCTCAAAGGATTTGCTTTTCACATCGAACGTAGTTCTAGGCATCTGTTATAGACTAACATGAAAATAAAGTCGAAAAAATGTAGTCACTCACTTAGAATTGTCCGAGAATCTCAAAACTTCAAACTTTATTAAAAAGCTTGTTTTGAGTCTAAACTTCAAAAGAAATATACCATCTTGTAGTGAATCGAATTTTCTATCGACTAATGTGATCTTCCATTTTTTAAGGAAAGGTGTGTAGGTCAGGAAATTGAAAATACAGTTTTCAAAAAACGCAAAACTGGGTTTTTGCCGCCAAAATTTAACTTTTTAAAAAAGATAATGTAAGATTCGTAATTGGCACCAAAAACTACTTCTAGTGATGTGCTTCTTCCAGTTCTACCCTAAAATAATTTTTTCAAAAAATTGATCAGCGAAGTACCGAGTTACGTGGACAAGCCGTAGGCATGGATCGGTTATTTTACCGGGGTGCTTGGGAGTAGTAGTTTTAAAAATCGGAAAGACGTTCTAAAATTTTTTCGAGTCTATTGTTTTGTGCACAAATGTTTGCTCTACAATATTTGCAAGACATTACAGACTTTCTCATGATGCTTTGTCGATGAGATACAAAGTTTTTACATGAAAAACTGAGCGGTTATTACCCAGCGGTTAACAACCGCTCCTAGTTTAGAGAAAAAAATTCATATCTCATCGACAAAGCATCATGAGAAAGTCTGCAATGTCTTCTTTTGTAGAGTAAACATTTGTGCACAAAACAGTAGACTCGAAAAAATTTTAGAAAGTTTGTCCCATTTTTAAAACTACTGCAGGGCGAAGATTTCACTTGAAATACCTGAAATGTTTGGAAAAACCTGAAAACCGAAAATCTGGAAATCGAAAAAGCAGACTTTTGTCATATTTTAATTTTTTCTTGTTCTATTTCTCATTTTAAAAAATCGAGTTACACATGAATCGAACGAGCAGAAAAAACTGCACAAGATAGGCTAGTTTTAAGAGGTTCAACTCAATAATTAGTGGTAAAAATAATTCAGTTCATAAAATAATCACGTCTTGATAATGACGACTAAGTCGTCGAAATGTTGACAAACAAATCCTTAAAATGGGAACTCAATCTTTAGCTGCTGTTAAACAGTCAGCTGCATTTAACGGATAAGGATTCAGTATTAAAATATAAGAAAGAATAAGACAGCCATTGGACCCACTATAAATGGATACATAGTGTGGTGACGATGTGAAATATACTTCTTCACCGTATCATTCTTCATCTCGTACACCATTTGCAGCAAACCCATTGGATATGAAATACGGCAACGTCTGCCGACTACAAACATACGATGATATAGAAATGAACAATAGCGCCTACGTTTATGCACGATTTCAATTTCCTTAATTGTTCTACATGGCATGAATCATTGACAAATTCTATTTAACAGAGGCAACTTTGATTATTTTCATTTGATTGACAGGGAAATATATCCGCCCGGTCAAAATAAACGGAAAAGCTTGTTTTTCATCGTTCTCCATGACCATGCATTCTTTCGATCTCATATTTCTACCACTGATAGACCATGCTCGATTCTACATGTGAACAAAGTTTCAGCTATATAGCTCAAGAATTGACCGAGAACCGTTCCAATCAATCTCAGGTACTCAGAGGTGGTTGCGAGAAACAGATGTCATTTTCCTCGTTTTTCGAGTGTTTCTTTTGTAGTTTTGAGTGACATGATATCGATCAGTTGCCTGACGAGCAGCATTCACACATGCTGACATCTTGGGCAATGTTCACAAAATGTGTGAACAGTGATTAGTACATCTTTCAACGAATGAATGAATCATCAAAACGGTTGTGAGAAAACATACGAATAAAAAACCAAGCGGCGAAACAGAGCTGCTGCCATTAGTATTCTTTCGAACCTTCCAACGCAATCCATTCATGGCCCCATATCTATCCCTTAGTGAGCGGTGGAGAATCATCACATTACGAAAGGATTTTGGATTATCGATGCCAACTATCGTACGTCGATTGAATTGCTCGTTATCTACTATTCATCGAATATTGGACTTATTTTCGAAAACAAATGACGTGGCGGAGCGTGAAGGGAGAGGACGTAAACGATCAATACAAGGTTCAGTTCGACGGCAATTTTGCGAGATTATGCGAGAGCATCCTTCAGCGACATCAAAGTTCATCGCCGAACGACTGGGATCAAGAAAAGGTGTATGTTTAAGTGATCGAACGATTTGTCGAATTCGTCGGCAAGAAAATTATCATTCCGTCCATTCAAAAATGCACTGGATAATTAATTCAGCTCAGGCCGCTCGTCGATTCCAGTTTTCTGTCACACATTTGTTCCACGATTGGCATGACGTCATTTTTACGGACGAAAAGAAGTTCGAGATCGATCAACGTGGACAAGTTTATTGGGTCCCGATCGTACGTGCCAGGCCGAAGACATTCTTGAGTCAAGTGAAGTTTCGTGTTACTGTTTTTGAAGCAGTTTGGTACAATGGTCGGTCTAATTTGATACCGATAAGAGGTCGAATGAACACGTCCACGTATTTGGAACATGTCGAATCTACGTTGGGTTCCCATCTTCGGCGTATCCGCAACCATTTCTTCATCCATGACAGAACGACATGGAGCCATACGAAGATAGCCCACGCCTGGTTAAATAATCATCAGATTACCTGTATGGATGACTATCCATCTGTGAGTCCCGAATTAAACACCATCGAATCAGTCTGGGGCTGGATGAAGAAATATCTTCAATCGAAAAAAATCAAAACTCAAAGGCAATTAGAAACGTATGTTCAGCAAGCTTGGGAACGAATTCCTGTCTAAGTCATTCGTGATTACATCAATAACATTTCGAAAATCGTAGAAAGAATTTTTTTCGCTGCTGGTGGCGATATTGACGAATAATTTGTTGTAACAACAACTAATCTATCGAATTTTTCACGATTTCTATTCGAGAACGACCTTTTAAAGAATAAACCAGAGGTCGATTTTCAAGATGTCAGCATGTGTGAATGCTGCTCGTCAGGCAACTGATCGATATCATGTCACTCAAAACTACAAAAGAAACACTCGAAAAACGAGGAAAATGACATCTGTTTCTCGCAACCACCTCTGAGTACCTGAGATTGATTGGAACGGTTCTCGGTCAATTCTTGAGCTATATAGCTGAAACTTTGTTCACATGTAGAATCGAGCATGGTCTATCAGTGGTAGAAATATGAGATCGAAAGAATGCATGGTCATGGAGAACGATGAAAAACAAGCTTTTCCGTTTATTTTGACCGGGCGGATATGTGGATATATCTGTTAAACAATTTTGTATTTTGATAATGGTGGTGTAAAATCACTCTGGAACAGTGAAAAAAAACTAACGCCATCTGTTATCGATCTCTGACGTAATCGTTAAATTTCTTGTTTATGTAAGCGATACACTTATATCCATATAGTCTAACGTAGAACAGAGTGACAGATATAATAGTACGAAACTATAATAACAATAAATAAGCTAAAATGAGAGTGTGTAGCCTTTTTTGTAAGCTGGAAAGATGTCGGGACAAAGTTTGTACCTTCTCCCAGTCCTCACTTTGAAGTGAGAAATATGATTATTTTTGGATATTTCGACCTTTAATCAGTCATTTTCAACAGCAACTGACTATGTAAACGAAATGAAAAATACACTTTGATATAAATCCTTCATACAGATGTGATAAGATAGAAAAGAAAACCATTCCGCAACATATTCCAAACGCTTTTTATATATGCGCATATATGAAAATGATGAAAATGAAAATGTGCCTCGTGAGTGTATGTTCAGTTTTTCAAGATGTTTGGGACGCTACCAGAACCACAAACAGAAGGTATGTTATGAGGTGGTACGTCTAGCTGCGGATCAGCATATTCTCTTTCTTACCCAGAAATGTCTCTCCATCCTCGTCACATAACAAATACTGAGTGGGTGAATAATTGGGGACCAAGAGATCAGTGCGGTTTATCAGATATTATCAGTTCTAAAACGATGACGCAAATATGTCAGAAATTTGTACAATGGAAGACAAAGCAAGCTCCACCACAAACACCGTCATTAGCTCAACTTCGGATCGATTGTATTGGCACCAAAATCATCATACTATTCACAACACAATGCACGTGAAGTGCTGATAATCAAGATCAGACCGTGACAAAATTATTCGAAAACAGTGCCCGTTGCTTCGTAAGTAAATGAAGTTTATGTAAAAACTATGCTGTTAAGGTAGTCTCTATTGTCTTTTTAATTTAGTGATGAATAATTCGATTGTCGCAGTTCACGAAGTGATTCAAATCGTTCCAGAAACTGAAAAGATTCGTCCACACAATTTAACAACTAATGTTGGTAAGTTAGACCTTTTCTCTGCTTGTTGCATACTTTTGTTTCTTACTTACGGATAACGAAAATGCAAAACAGACAGATTTCTCTCCGTTTACACAATCGCCGACAAGTGAGTCTCAGATACAAAAAGCCAAATACTCTTCAAGGTAGCATCTGTTTTTTAAATCTAAGCAACAATATTCTATTGAATTTTCGTTTATTTCAGTATCCACATAAGCCAATGATGATTCACATCAATCGATAAATATGACATCCATTTGCCAAAAAACATTCCATTATCATACTCAATTGTGGTTTTGAACGTGGCTCCTGATTGGGGAGCCGAGACGAACTAAGACTACAGTATTCCTCGATTGTGAAAGCCGAACGTATTCATATCCGCGGAGGAAAGTTTGTCTCGACTTTTCGTCCAATCAACATTTACCTGAAATACTCAAAAGACCCATCGTGCTTGACACTGACAACACGACATATCAAATTGAACCGTACGTTCCTCCGATCCGAGTTCTTAGGTACTACGTCTGTCAAGAATAGGGTGATCATACAGCTATGAAATGTCCGAGGAAGATAGTTCTGTTGAATGTTGAAATCGAAAATATACTGAAATATAAGTAGATAGAGACTATCTGCCAAATGCACTGGAACAAGTTGATACCAACCATCCTTGCTGCTGTTATTATGGACTTCATACAACAAAAACTTTCCATTCTTTATCTTCATGAATATATTTTAAATCCTTCTTTGTTGTATGAAAAACGTGACAGTTATGTTCGATGTAGAGCTCGCAGAATACTGCTGAATGTGATAAATGAGAATCGCTTATCGTTATTCGATCATGTGCTCATTTTTGATTCTTAACGTTACTATGACTTTCATCTATCTAAACTTGTAACTTCAAAAAATTGCTTTATCAGATTAACAGTTATGTTGTAAATAGTATATAATTTTTCTGTTTGTGTTCCTTTTCTCGAGAAGGGAAGATTGTAACTTTAACATAATACCTCAATTTCTTATGTACAATTTCCTTCAAAATTGTTCTTTTTTGTGATTGTCTAGAAGCGGACTTTGCGTAACTGTTGTTTAAGCAGAAACACACAGACAATAATGCACTAGATAACCAGGCGCCATATAGTATTCTCATTATAAATATAATTCCCATTTGTATACTAAGAGAAGAAAAAACTGTGGGCTTTTCCAAAAAGCGCATGAGTTCAAATTCTTTGGAGGTTATTCATATCTTAGTGGTATCTATCAACCCTAAAAAAAAATATATATACCATATAATAATATATAGTATCTATCTAAATACCATAAAAATAATCAGCTTAAACGATTTTAATCAGTTAGCGATGTTCCCTCGTGAGGTTTATTTTCATATTCACAACTTTTCTGGGAGCCTAGCAAAAAAAGGCTTATTTCTCCTTTTCATAAGCAAAACAATTATTAAAATCCTTTTCGAAAGTAGGATTTTGAGAGGATCTTGAAAAACCAACCCAGCTCTTCAAAACTTAAAGTAAGAGTATAGCGTTCTGTTACATGTGTAGACAGCCTAAAATGTCTTTAAAATGGGAGCCTAGCAAAACTTCCATTTTTAGGGGTTCGACTGTGGTATTGGATTTCCTTAGGGTTTCAGGACTGGTACTCAGTGACTTGGCGTAACCTCGAAAGATAGAATCCTTTTGGTTATAAAAGAATATGTGTGAACTCTGTTTTAAACGGTATTTATTTAGGTAATCACTTTCAACCGTCCTACTCAGATATAGGTACGGATCTCTAAAGACATCATTCGAACCTGCCCAATATTTCTACTTGCCATTCTTGCTATGCCTCTGCAATGAGTTTTAACGAAAAACAACACCTAGTTATTCTGAACGCACTTCTATCCAAGAAAAACGTTACTGACTCTTTACGATCAGAAATGTGCATGTGTTTCAATTTACCGTCATTATTTCATCGCATGAAAAAATGGAAACAGCGTCAATACAATGTCACATGATACCATTAATCGACATTGGCGTAAGTGAAGACAAACGGAATTAATATAATCAAGCTATGACACAATTGCTTCCCGTAAATAAACAATCTGTTTCGCTTTCGAGTTTTATGACGATTTTTAAGCAATGTAAAACAAGCATGCTATTTGCTTGTTTTTACGTAAGACATACACAGCTAATATGTGTGATATGTGAAAATCTGATTTCAGAGATGTTCAACTATTCAGTTCTTTTACCATTGTTTCAGTTAATTTATATTTTTGAACTTTACCAGTCGGTGTTGTATACTGCTGATATGAATCAACAATTTTAATATGCTTTGGAATTTTAAAGAAAGCCACCCGTTCAGATAAAAATGCTTTTATGTCTTCAATACTAACATCATTTTCACCATAATTTTGTTTTAATTTAATCCATGCACATAATTGTTCACCATAACGTTTATCTGGTACGCCAAAAACTTGCGCTTGAGCTATTTTTGGATGTTCAGCAAGCGTATGTTCGACTTCAACCGGATATACATTGATTCCACCAATAATTACCAAATCCTTTTGTCTTGATCGAAAATATAAATATCCATTTTCATCCATAGTAGCCACGTCACCCGTCTTTAACCAGTGAGTGTCTGTTAGAGTTTCACGTGTTTTCTCTTCATCGCCCCAATATCCTTTCATTACACTATAGCCTCTCACATAGATTTCACCTTCTTCGCCAATTGGCACCGTTTCACCATTGTTGTTGACTAATTTAACTTCTAGATGAGGCATGGCTTTACCTACTGAACCAAATCTTTTTTTCTTATCATCGTGGGCAAAAATACTCATGGTTGCTGTAGCCGAGGTTTCTAAATACAAGAACAAATAGGCTTATTTTCTCTCCTACATAAAATGTCGGCCTCTGTACCTGTCATTCCATAGCCTTGTGCAATTCGTTTGATTGGTAGTTTTTGCTCTAATGTGTCTAATAATTGTGGTGACGATGGAGCAGCGCCAATAATTGCAAATAATAATGAACTTAAATTATATTGTCTACGATCAGCGTATGAATATATGTCTTGAAATATAATGGGAGCGCCAATTAACGATGTGCATTTTTCTTCATGAATTGCTTTGATCGTTGCCAGTGTATCCGGTAAAATTGCAGGAAAAACTGTTGTAAATTTATCATTAATAATATTTAATGTTCCAAAAACTTCACCAAATATATGAAATAATGGTATTGGACAGCATGTTTTTGACATTGAAGAATCGGGATAAAGGTGTTTAAATATATGACCATTATTTATTAAATTAAAATTTGTTAATGTTGCTGCTTTGGGATGTCCTGTTGTACCTGATGTAAAGAATATTGATAATGGATGATCACAATTAATTAACTTCTGACGTTCAAACAAATCACTGTGTCTTCCATTTGCACCTTTATTCAATAGATCATTAAAACTATGAAAACCATCACTATTAGTTTTAACAGATGATCCATTTATGAGAATAACATGTTTTAGTGACGGAATAGATTTTGAAATTAATGACATATCATTTGGTTTTGAATATGCAAGTTCTGGTATAAGTTTTTTGAGAATATTTAAACAATCAATTTTTTTTATATTTGATTGTAGAACCAATCCTTTACATCCAACTTTATTTAGGCAATAATCTAGCTCACGATCCATATAAGCTGGATTAATATGTACTTTAATAATTCCAAGTTTAGAACATGCATATGTCATCATTACATTTTCAGATGTATTTGGTAACCAAACACCTAGGCGATCATTTTTTTCAAATCCTAATTTAAGTAAGGATAGAGCAATACTATCAACTTCATCTTTAAATGATTTGTATGTATAACGTTTGTTATTTTCACTCTTAAATACAAAACATTCATGTTCTGGAAATAGATGTGTTAAATCATCTAAACGTTGACCAGCTGTTCGATAATAAAGTGGTAAAGATGAGGCATGATAATAATAACTTTGTCGAAGTTTTTCATGATAGTAACGATATTGCTGACGAAAAGATGTCGATAAAACGTGATGTAATCGACTATAACAAAAGTTTTTAATCATCTAAAAATAATATAATTTAATGTCTAGTATTATAACATTATAAAAAAAGAAAACTATTTTTTTATCTTTGTTTGAAGGTCACATTCACATTTGGTAACAGTATATTATATTATCACATGGTAAGATTAGATTTAATACCTTTTTGATGTATACAGAAGCAAACATATATTTTTCTTTTCAAAGAAATGGAAGTGTATGAAAGAGAGAGAGAAAAATTATATCAAATAAACTATCCAGCACCACGCTACTCCATAGTACACATTGATTTCAGCCGACAAACTTTTGTATTTGCTTTTGTTTAAGTACAATATGTTAAAATTGTCGTCAGCGAATTGCGTATTCGGCAAAGTAGAAAGAAATGTTATCTATTCAACTATGTAACATCATAGAAAGAGAGTACTTTTATAAATTTACTTTAAGAAATAATTGAGCTTCGTGGAAGAAAAGAAACAAATGATGAGTAATCATGATTTAATGACTGAGTTAAACATCTGTCGACAATCGTATAAGTTATGATCGTATTTAAACTTCGATAATACTTGTACGCTTCATCAACTGCAGTACCTGTCGAAGACAAGCATAATGTAACGATATTTTATCATTACACATCCATGTATTTCGCTCTTTAATTCTACTTCTTTGTCTCTTTTTGATGTTCTCAGTTTAGTTGAACCCACTAGAAGCGTTCTTGGTAGTGACACAACATGATTACAGCGTACATATGTGAATGTGACCTGAAAACAAAGACAAAAAAATAGTTTTCTTTTATAATGTTATGATACTAGACATTCAATTACTTTATTCACTTCGTTATTTTAGATCAACAGACATCAAGGTCGCATTCCAATAGCAGTCCAGTCACCAGTGACGAATCACCAATTCGTGAGTTCTTTGATATCCCTGACGATACAACGGCAAAGTAATACAAACTTTCCAAAAATATGGTACTAATACAGCGCTAGTCAACTAGTATCCGTACCAAAATATAATGCACGTTACCGTTTCTTTGATAACTCGAAGACGATGATAGATAGAGAGTTGCGGTTTTCACTAATGAAAGGAGGACTATTTTCCCAATCTTTACACAAGCCAAAGTTGAAGTTAAAAAAATTTTGAAGATAGGTTTTTCTGCGGATCTTTTGAAAACCTCCTCATATCGCTGGAAGCCTACGTAATGATATACCCATTTTTTTCCATGGATATATAACCCAACATGTGTTCTAAATGCGTGGATCTAAGCGACGTCTTACTTTTGCTAGGTTTGGCCTAGAAAGCCGACCACCCTGATTATCGTGACGATGTTCGTTTCATTCCCGACTTAATCGCAATGCCCGAAAAGCCAATTTGATGACAAGCCGGATTTTCGCCTGTTACTGTCAAAAATTAAAAGCCGTATATTTCACTCA